GTCAGTTGCCAAGCGCCTGAATGATTGTGGAAATGTTGCAACTGTCATAAGTACAAGTCAGTTGCCAAGCGCCTGAATTTTGCTCACGTGACTGTGGAGATGTTGCAATGGTTGTAAGTATGAAAAAGGGTGTTAAGTCACTTCCCCCCCTGAGCTGTTGTAACTTTGATCGGTCACTAAATTATCTGTTGTAAGTCGAGGACCACTCATAGAGAACAATGTGTGGGTTTCTTTTAGTAAATTGCTAAGGTTTACGGGTCTGGGAATATATCAACATTGGTTGATAGTTTTTCCCCTTTGTAAACGAATCTAATCTTTGGAGACGCGGCCGAGTTGGCAGGTCTGATTGCAAACCCTTCCAAAGTTGAGCTGTGTGTTGTGGCGTGGATTTGACCAACGTGTCGCTTTATCATCCACGCCCCAGGTGCCCCGGCCTACCTTTGCCCGGGGAATGTTGATTGAAGGAAAAGCACTCACCCCGTCGATGGGCACAACCTGGTTATCAAAATGCTCTTGAGCACGATTTGGTGCTGAAAGTGAAACACAATTCTGGTGTTCAGGGTCCAGAGATTCTCAGTCACGTAGGTCGTGGTTGTCCCAAAGGTGCTTTTGTTCAGGAGGCAACTGGACTTTCTGGTTTTCCTTTGAAGACGTTTCGCTTCTCATCCAAGAAGCTTCTTCAGCTCTGACTGGATGGTGGGGAATAATGGAAGGATTCATATTCCTTGCGGACAGCTGGTCGTTTGCATCCTTTCCAGAGAGCCGTTGAGGCCACTTGGAGGTTTGTCCCTGTCCTCAGGGTCACCTGAGTGGTGCTAATGTTTTCTGTAGCCTGCAAATTTTCCCCCTGGAAATCCCTTCCTGTTCCCACACCATTCAAAGGTTGTTCATCCCAAATTGTATGGCTAAGAGCCTGTAGAGATTCTCAGTCACCCAGAAGCGTCTTCAAAGAAAAAAACAAGAAAAATCCAGTTGCCTCCTTGGGAAAAAGCGCCTTTGGGCCAACCATGACCTGGAGGACTTGGTAGTTAGGCCATTTGGGATGAACACCCTTCCAGTGGTGTGGGAGTATGAACGGATTGCCAGAAAAAGGGCGGGCTACAGGAACCATTTGCACCACTCAGGTGACCCCGAGGACACAAGACAAACCTCCAAGTGGCCTCAAGGACCCTCTGAAACAAGGGCCCTCAAACTGGGCAAGTTTAAGACTTGTGGACTTCAACTCCCAGAATTCCTGAGCGAACATGACCGGAGGAGGAATTCTGGGAGTTGAAATCCACAAGTCTTAAAACTGTCAAGTTTGAAGACCCTCTGCTCTAAAAGGATGCCAATGACCAGCTGCCTGCAAGGAATATAAATCCTTCCATTCCCCGCCATCATCCAGTCAGAACTGAAGAAGCTTCTGGGATGAGAAGCAAAACATCTTCAAAAGAAAAAACAAACTCCAGTTACCTCCTGAAAAAAAAAGCACGTTTGGGACGTCTGTTTTTTTTTTTTTTAAAGGAAGCATTTGTTTAAGCAAGTTATGTAAGGTATCACATCTTCCCAAAGCAACTATGAGATCTGGTAACCTGATACTTGCCTTTGTCTTTCTCCCTTTCAGAAAGGCCAGCGCTATGAAGCGGTGAAGTGGATGATGGTTTTTGCCATTGGAGTTTGCACGGGGATGGTAAGCCTCAAGGCGTTCTGCTCCGAGAGAGGCCTGCCCTTCTTGCCTTCTCCTTACTATTCAGTGTATAATCTGCAGTTGATAACAAGCAAACCGTAAGACGGTAGACAAGGTACAGGTATTCCTCGACTTACGACCACAATTGAGCCCCCAAAAAGTGTTGTGGTTCACCGGCAGCAGGTACGGACGGCTGAGGTCTCGGAGAGCGAGGACTCAGATGAGGGGCCTGCGTGTGATGCAGGGATGGAGCCAGGACCATCAGGGAGTGGAGATTGTGGCGGCTGGCAGCAGTGAGGAAGAGGCCACCGAGGAGCCTGTGCCCAGAGCGTGTGCGCGCAGGGCTGCTTGAAGGAAAGAGCAGCTGCAGCAGCACGGGCGACTCGGGAGTAAGGCTGCAAGGTAATGGCCCCTCCCTTAAGGGATAAAAGCCAGCTGAGAAACTGGAGTTCTTTGCAGAAGGCAAAGAAGTTTTATACTCGAGCCTGGTGGATATTAGCATATCTGAGTTGGTGTTTGGAGACTCTTTGATTTACTGTTTAGTAGCTTTATCTGGTGTTCCTGGCAGCCTTGCAAAAACTTGGCAAGGCTCTTCCTTATCGGAGCGAATTAGTTGGAAGCAGCCTTTGATCTGTGAAGAAACAGGATTCGTAAATGAAACATTAAAAGGTGGTGCTTGGTATCTCTGTCTTGTGTTTGCTCTCTGGGAACCAGGTTTGGGCCAGAACATAAAGTGAGTTTTGCCCCATTTTACGACTTTTCTCACCACATTTGTTCGGCAAATCACTGCCGTTCTTAAATGAGTCACATGGTCATGAAGTGAATCTTGGTTTATCCCCATTGACATTGCTTGTAAGCAGGTCACCAAAGGGGATCACATGATTCCGGGACACTGTGACCGTCATAAACGTGAGCCAGTTGTTCATTCAAATATACATGACGTGACCATGGAGATGCTGCAATGGTCGTAACTGTGAAAAATGGTCATAAGCCACTTTTTTCAATGCTGTTGTAACAATAGCAATAGCCCTCAGACTTACATGCCGCTTCGCAGCCCTCTCTTATGAGGTTTGCAGAGTCAGCCTCTTTCCCCCAACAATTTGGGGTCCTCATTTTACCCACCTCGGAATTATGGAAGGCTGAGTCAACCTGGAGCCAGTCGGTTAGGATCGAACTGCTGGCAGTGGGCAGAATTAGCCTGCAATACTTCAGGGCTTGGTACTCTCTCCGCTCCTGTTCAACATTTATACGAAGCCGCTGGGTGAGACCGTCCGTCACCGTGAACTGAGGCATCACCAATATGCTGATGATACTCAGCTGTGTGTCTCGGCCCGTGGTGAGTTCAAGTGTTGCTGTGTCCTCCCTCTCGCAGTGCCTGGAGGCAATTAGGGGGTTGGATGGGGAGCAAGGGTTCAAACTAAACCCTTGCAAGACCGAACGGCTTTGGGTTTGGGGTTCGTTGGTTCAGGGAGAATTACCACCTTTAGTCTTGGATGGGGTGGCACTACCCCAAACAGACCCTGCGTGTAACTTAGGGGTTTTCCTGGACTCACGACTCCTGTTCGAAGAGCAGGTGGCGGTCGTGGCCAGGAGGGCCTTTGCGCAACTGTGAGTTGTGCACCCGTTACGCCCTTTTCCTGGATCAGAGGTTCCCGTCTTGATTATTGCAAGGCGCTCTACGTGGGGCTGCCCCTTGAAAAGCATCTGGAAGCTCCAGTTGGTGCAAAATGCAGCGGCCTGCATGGTTTTATGCAGAACCCGGCATGCACATGTATCGTCTCTCCTGCAGGAGCCGCATTGGTTGCCGATTTGCTTCCGGGTGCAATTCAAGGTGCTGGTTGTCACCTTTAAAGCCCTTCGTGGCTTGGGACCAGGTGATCTGAGGAAACATCTCTTGTCAATCACATCCACCCGACCCATTGGAGCGAGGAGGCAGGGGACGTTGTGAGTCCCACCTCTGAGGGAGATACACCTGGTGGGACCCAGAAGAAGGGCCTTCTCCGTGGTGGCTCCCTCCCTCTGGAACGTCATCCCCCCCAGAGATTAGAATGGCCTCCTCATTAATACTCTTCCGAAAGGCACTGAAGAAGAAGAAGACCTCGTTTTGCCCGCCGGCCTGGGGAACCCAGGGTGGGATGGAGCCCATCAGGTAGCTAGTGTGACCTATCGTCAGGGAGGGGAGTTGGTTTTTGATTTTCTGTTGTTTTTGTTTTTCCCAAATTTTGTTCTATTGTACTTTGCTAGTTTATTTGATTTTTTTTGTTAGTTTTTATTGTTTTTATTTTTTGTTTTAAATAGGGTTTTACATTGTGTAAGCCGCCTCGAGTTGCCATGGGCGAATAGGCGGCAATATAAATAAAATAAATAAATAAATACTTAATTTTAACTATTAGGAGGGAGGGAGGGAGGGAGGGAGGGAGGGAAGGAAGGAAGGAAAGGAAGGAAGGAAGGAAGGAAGGAAGGAAGGAAGGAAGGAAGGAAGGAAGATAGCAATAGCACTTAGACTTATACACCGCGTCACAGTTGCTTTTACAGCCCCTTCTAAGCTGTTTAGAATCAGCCTCTTGACCCAAACAATCTGGGTCCTCATTTTACCCACCTCTGAAGGACAGGAGGCTGAGTCAACCTTGAGCCAGTTAGAATTGAACTGGTGGCAATGGCCAGAGTTTGCCTGCAGTACCACATTCTAACCACAGGCAGTGAGAGAAGGAAGGAAGGAAAATAGCAATTGCGCTTATATACCGCTTCATAGTTTGGTGGTTCAAATGCCGCATAATGGAGTGAGCTCCTGTTATTTGTCCCAGCTTCTGCTAACCTAGCAGTTCGAAAGCATGTAAAAATGCAAGTAGAAAAATAGGGACCCCTTTGGTGGGAAGGGAACAGCGTTCCTCCGTGCACCTTCGGCGTTTAGTCCTGCCGGCCACAGGACCACGGAGACGTCTTCGGACAGCTCTGGCTCTTCTTCGGCTTTGTAACAGAGAGGAGCAGTGCCCCCTAGAGCCAGAAATGACTAGCATAGATGTGCGAGGGAAACCTTTACCTCTACTGCTTCACAGTGCTTTTACAGTCCTATCTAAGCGGTTTACAGAGTCAGCCTTTTACTCCCCCAACAATCTGGGTCCTCATTTTACCCACCTCGGAAGGGCAGAAGGCTGAGTCGACCTTGAGCCTGGTGAGAATCGAACTGCCAAATTACAGGCAGCCTGCAGTCCGCAGAAGCAGCCTGTAGTATTGTATTTCTAACCACTGCGCCAGCACCATAAATCTAGCATTTTAGCAACCCAGCTGCAATTTTAATATTTTGATGTCTCATAGTGTGTAAAAATTGAGCGTGGAGTGGATCAATTATAGAGCCCCTTACAGTTAATCCTCGAGACTTACGAGCAGAATTGAGCACCAAGTTTCTGTTGTTAAGTGAGCTTTGCCCTATCTTTACAACCTTCCTTGCCAGAGTTGTTCAGTGAATCCCTACAGCTGATAAGTTAGTAACCCCGTTGTTAAGTGAATCTGGCTTCTCCCCTTGACTTTGCTCGTCAAAAGGTCGCAAAAGTGGATCAGGTGATCCCGGGATTCAGCAACTGTCATAAGAATGAACTTACGATACACCCAGGGAGGGAGGGAGGGAGGGAGGGAGGGAGGGAAGGAAGGAAGGAAGGAAGGAAGGAAGGAAGGGCGATAGACTTATATACCGCTTCACAGTGCTTTACAGCCCTCTCTAAGTGGTTTACAGAGTCAGCCTCTTGCCCCCAACAATCTGGGTCCTCATTTGACCCACCTCGGAAGGATGGTAGGCCTAGTCCACCTTGAGCCAGTCAGTCAGGATCGAACTGCTGGCAGTGGGCAGAGTCAGCCTGAAATACTGTATTCTAACCACTGAATCACCATGGCTCTTATTATTAGCAATAATAGCACTTGGCTTTCGAGGCCATCAGCCATTGGAATAGCAATAGTCTGAGTCAGCCTTGAGCCTGGTGAGTTTTCAACTGCCAAATTGCAGGCAGGCAGCAGAAGTAGCCCTGGAGTACTGCTTTATAACTTTGAATCGTCACTAAATGAACTGTTGTAAGTCTAGGATTACCCATACCATTGATTGATTTTTTTTTTTTTAATTGCCTTATTCCTTCCCTGTGCAGGTGGGCCTTTTTGTAGACTTTTTCGTCCACCTCTTCACCAGAATCAAATTCCACGTGGTGCAGAACTGTATCTTTTCTAGTTTGGATGGGGGTCTTGAAAGTTGACGGGGGGGGGAACGCCAATCGCCCCATTGGAGGAATCCTGCTGGCCTTGGGCAGGGCCCATTGTTTGGGGCGAAGCAGTTTCCTTCCTCTCGGGCCGGGTACATTTTCAGGAACGTCGCTTGGTGCTTCTCCTTCCTTTCCTTGACTCCGTCTCTGTTAGCGGTGGAGGACTGCAGCGAGAAAGGTTGCCTAGCCATCTCGCTGCTAGAGCTACTGGGCTTCAACCTCACCTTCATCTTCCTGGCCAGCCTCTTTGTCTTAATCCAGGTAAGGCTTCCCTTCCGGTTCACAGGGAATAGATTTACAATCGCCAATACAAGGACTATCATATGTACGAGAAGAATACGTACGTGGTGACCTGGGTTGTGGCACAAAGACAACCCAGCCAGATAATAAGTGGGGGGGGGTCCCTTTATTAGCTCCAACTTCGCCTCTAATGTCTCCGGTTACCTTCCGGTTTGTGGAAAAACTCTCCCAGGAACCTGCAACGGTCTTTGGCTGAAGAAATTCCAGTGCAAAACATTGTAAACAGAAAACTTTAAACTATAAACCCAACCAAGCAAGATAAGGCAACAAATCCAGCAGGGCACGATAAGGAGGTCCAGGAGTGAAGTAACACAGCAGTAAATCAAGTTGGGAGGATGCCAGGAACTCTAATAACCAAGATAACCGCAACCAAGATAAACTCAATGTTTGTTTCTGACAAATGCCCCTTCCCAAACTGCCTCTCCTTTAACCTCCCTCCCTAGGTGTGGCTTGTAAAGGGAATCAGGGCCCTTTCCTCCCTCATAAGCCATGCCACCCATGTTGCTCTCTTCTCTGTTCCTCCCTGCATGCCCTAGGATGAAGAGGAGGTGGGCCTTGGTCTTCCTCTGAACCCCCTCTCCCTTGTTCTACCTCTCCCCTGCTCTGCCGAGCCGGACTGTGCCCTTCCCCAGTTTCCTCCACAGCCACCAGAGCCACACTCCCACTCCCTGTCAGCTGTTCGTCTTCCTCCTGGGAGTCAGACTCCTATGGGGGAATGACAAGATGGCGCTTACGAGAGTTGAAATTTCAGTAGAGTCATCAACTTTTCAAAAATTAGTTTATAATGTAAAATACAAAAGAAAATAGTAGGAAAGATGGGGAAAGGGAAGGAGAAAGTGTAGGGAAAAGGGGGGAAAAGAAAGAAAAGATGTTGATTTCCCTTTGGTGCAGTTGTGTAAGATAATATCAAACCTCAGCTTTTTACTTTTACATAGTAATATAAAGTGGTCATTTTTATAACAACAAACCTGTCCAATCAAGTCTGGGGCAGTACAAGAATGCCCTTGCCTAAACCCACAATAAAAATTTCAATTTTTTTCCACTTTGATCCCAAAGTCCAGGAGCAGTTTCCAAGTTGAAGCAAAAGTTATTGTGCTTTTTTTCCTTCAATCAAAGCCGTCGGTTTAGCCGTCTCTGCCAACTCCATCAACTTTTGCAGCCATTCATCCAAAGGGTCCTTCCATTTTTGGGCATAAAGTAATCTTGCTGCCCTCAACATGTACAGCAACAAAGTTCCAGCTTTTTTTCTTCCTCCCAAGTCTTTTTCCATTAAACCCAAAAGGTAGATTCCTCGAACTACGACGACAGTTGAGCCCAGCATTTCCACCGTTAAGCAAGACAGTGACTTAAGTGTCTCACTGTATTTATGGTATTGTATTCATGTCATTATAAATTATATAATACCTTTAAATAGTGTAAGCTGCCCAGAATTATCATCTGGCAAGATGGGCGGCTAATACATTTTACAAATAAATAAATGTGAGTTTTGCCCCCTTTTTATGACCTTTCTGGCCACGTTGGTTAAGTGAATCTTTGCAGGCTAGAAACGTGGTTGTTACTAATGATGGATGGAAAGTAATAAAGGAGAGAAGCGACCTGGAGTTAAGGAGAAACTTCCTGACAGTTAGAGCAATTAACCAGTGGAACTGCCTGCCTCCAGAAGTTGTGAATGCTCAAACACTGGAAGTTTTTAAGAAGAGACTGGACAACCATTTGTCTGAAGTGGTATAGGGCAGTGATGGTGAACCATTTTGTTGTGGTGTGCCCCTGCGCATGCGTGCGCAACCCCCCCCCTACCTGCACTGCACATGGACGTACCTCCCAGCTGATTTTTCGGCCCGTTTGAGGCCGTTTTCGTCCTCCCGGGGGCTCGAGGGAAGCCTCTACAGCCTTTGGAGGCAAAAAAACAGGCCCATTTCAGCACTTCCGGTTTTGGCACTTCCGGTATTTCCGGACACGCATGCACAGCGCAGGTAAGTTTGGCTAGGGCTCGCGTGCCTGCACCAGTGGCTCTGCATGCCACCTGTGGCACGCGTGCCATAGATTCACCATCCCAGGTGTAGGGTCTCCTGTTCGAGCAGGGGGCTGGACTAGAAGACCTCCAAGGTCCCTTCCAGCTCTCTTCTGAATTTGCTTTAAAAAAGATTTGAATCTGGCTTTCCCCATCGACTTTGCTTGTCAGAAGGTTGCAAAAGGTGATCCCAGCAGCAGCACCGTCATAAAAATGAGCTAGTTGCCAAACGTCTGAATTTGGATTACTCGGCCCATGGGGATGCTGCAACGGTCATAACTGTGGGGAAAAAACAAGTCCTAAGTCACTTGTTTCACAGTGTTGTTGCAACTTCGAACGGTCACGTCGTAAATCAGGGACCACCTGTACTGAAGAACTAGGCAGGTAAACGGGAGCTTTCTTGTTGTTTCCTTACTGCCATTGTTTCCTAGTTTGCTGCCAACCAGGTAAACAGCCTCCTTCATTCCCAGCACTGCGGACTAACTTGGGTCTAGTTTTGTCCCGGTAGCCCTCGCCTCTCCAGAGTCCATCACAGCCTCCCGTGTTGTGGCTGTCAGGGCTCCAACAGGCACCCACATTCAAATCATAAGTCTCTAGCCGCATCTCACAGAGTGAAAAGGATTGATTTATTAGGAGTTGACATGTCGGTGTTTCCTGGTTGCAGCCGACTCTGATACATCATTCATTTCACCCTTGACCCTGGTCTTCCCCCCTCCCCCCTGGATGTATATTCTCCAGTGGGACACATCCATAGCCAAGATTCATCATGACATGCCCCTGGTGGAGACTGACTCTGAGGGAGAGGAGGAAGAGCAGACAGGGAGTGGAAGTGTGGCTCTGGAGGTTGTGGAGGAGGCTGGGGAAGGGCAGAGGCCGGCTGGGGAGTCAGAGCAGGACCCAGGCCCATCCCCTCTCCATCCTAGGGCACGCAGGGAGGAGAGGATAAGGGAGAAACGTGGTCTATTCTGGAGGAGAGGGCCTCGATCCCCTTCAATTGGCTGCAGCTGTGACAACTGAATAAGAGTATGGGCCTGCATAGTGGCGAACACTGGAAACAAAGCATGGAAATATCTCTAGTTTATAGTTCCTCTCTGAGTTTGGCGTCCTTCCCAGTGTGTGTTATCTGTGGACATCCTCCAGCCCTTATCTTGCCTGGTTTGTGTTGCTTTTCCTTCTTCGTGTAACTGTTTGTGGGGGAGTTTTTTGTCTTCTGTCAAAGATATTCAGAGCTTGGAAGCAAAGTGAAGGAATAAAAGGGGCTTCCCCTGTTTTCTGTGACTGTGTTTGTTTTGTATCCCACCCTGGGTCATCACTCTCCAGTAATAATCTTGCGCGCCAACAGCTTCGGCTGCCTAGCAATTATCTGAAGCATTTAAGGAATGCACTGCTTTCCCCCCCACTCCCTTTCTGCTGGCAACTAAAAAAACCAAAGAAGTGTTTTTTTTAGTTGACAGTGGCTTCCTTTCCAGCCAGTAGCTGCCGGATCTGGGATTCCAGAGATCAAGTGTTACTTGAACGGAGTCAAGGTCCCCGGGATCGTGCGTCTTCGGACTCTGATCTGCAAAGCTCTGGGGGTGCTTTGCAGCGTGGCTGGAGGTAACCCCAAAATCGGTCCTCGGTCTTTCTGGCATTGGGAAAGTCGCTGGTTTTCTTCCGTTAACCGGCCGTATCTTTTCTCTCCCAGGTCTTTTCGTAGGGAAGGAAGGCCCCATGATCCACAGCGGCGCTATCGTCGGGGCCGGCCTACCTCAGGTGAGCGCGAGCACAAGGCTCATCCCAATGGGGCAGAAATGCCTTTTTTTTTCTTCTTCTGAAAATGCTTCTCCGGATCTGTGCTTGGTGTGTTCCAATGCAGGTAAAAAAAGCTGAGTTTTAGTTAAACTTTTCAGAGGGTTTCAGGAGGTACTAATACCACTCTATAAAGCCTTGGTAAGACCACACCTAGAGTAGTGCT